GGCTTGTACCAAGCCTCAGGCGTCCCCGCCGCTTCGAGGAGATCGGCCCACCCAAGTGCGGGAACGACCCGCGGGTGCGGGAAGGCACCGTCAACCACGCCGGGTGCTGCGTGCAGCAGCCGCATGTGACCCTGATGGATGACCAGCACGATGGGTTCTGAGGAGGCCGGAGCATCGGCTCCCCTGATCTGTTCAGCAGTGACGTGACCACGCGGGCCCACGCGAAGGAACACTAACCGGTGTCGAGAGAAAAACGCGAGGGGGTAAGCGGCCAGGCAGCGGTAGTCCTTGTCGTGCGCCCAGTGCCTCAGGTCGTGTGCATAAATGCGCAGGTTCGTTTCGGCCCGGGAGAGCTCCTCTGGAACCGGACCGAGCGCAGTGTCCGAGGACACTGCACGTTCGAGGAGCTCCTTGCGGACCACGGCTGCGGCGGAGGCGACTTCGGCCGACGTGGGAAGACGCCCCTGCTTGCGCAGCAGAACGCCCGCGACGCAGTGCAAGACGAGACATTGTCGGCCTTCTGGCTCATCAGTGGAGGGCGCCCCACGAACCTGGTCGGAGACACCAGGGAGCAGGCAGAGCCGGTCGCCATAGTCTGCGACGGGCCAGGAGTGCGATCCCCACCGCATCTCACATTTGAGGTAGTCTCCAGCCGCAACTGCCTCCGAGAAGGTGGCAACGGACTCTCCTGCCTTGACGGGCTCAGTTCGTTCCAGTTCGACCTCGGCCTGTGTAGCTAGCTCCGGCCCGCCCTCGGCTACTGCGAGGCGAAGGGCCTCGAAGACGTGGTCTGAGCTCAGGGCTTCTCCCGGGTGTGACTCCTTACGACGGACGAGGTGGGCTTTCACGAACGTAGCCAAAAGAGCAGGCCAGCCCTCTAGTGAGGCTTCCTTGGTCACGGCGTCCAGGGCCCGGACGCGATGCCGCGCCTCAGGCCTTTGGCGCGCTCGAGTAACAACAGAGGCATCCACTTCTCGGACAGCGGGGGCGGACTGGTCGGCGAACCAGGTGAAGTCAGGCCCCTCCTCCCACGCTTCCAAAGTAGCCTCCGCGTCAGTCGGTGCGAAGGAGGTGAACTTTTCTGGTGGCGGCGTCTCGATTGTTGCGTCCTCCGCTTCGTCCGAGGGCCCCCCGGCCTTGCGCCTTCCTTGCCTGCTTTGGCCTTTGCCGCAGGGGCGGTAGAAGGGCCTTCTGTGGACTTGGCAGCTGCCGCGGCCTGGCGCTGTCCTTCCTCAACGTGCTCCTGCTGCTTCCGGGCGACTTCCCGACGGAGAGCCGCAACGGCCGCGTCAACCGACTTGGTCTTGGCTTTGGTCTTCAGACCCCCGCGGCGAAACAACTGAAGCTGGACCGACCAGTCAAGGCTGTTCCACGCTGGGATCTGCGATGCCGGGGGATGCGCGTGGGGGCACTTTGCCCCCAAGTGGCAACCTCTGTGAGACATGTAGTCCCAACAGAGGTAACCCCCTCCCTCTTTAGCCTTGGGTCGGTGGTCGAGGGCTCTCGAGGCTTCCTTGGTGGTGAGAGCGGGGCCTTGGAGTTTGACTACAGCTAGAGTTTTGGGAGGTTCTCCTTGCCTGGCGGTCTCACCGGCCCTCGAGGCCTCAGGGACGTCAGTTTGAGTCACTGCTGCTGTCCCCTCCTCTGAGAAATCACCTCCGGCTCGGCCTCCACCCAGTTGAGAGGTGGTGCCCAGGCCTTGGGCTTTCAGCGCTTGCTGCCAGCAGTTCCGGGTGAGGGCTCTCTGGTGCCGTGGGACTATGTCCGACGCGAAGAACTCCTTTTTGGGGTCCTCAAGGTCAAACGTGCGGGGGAGTCGAAGCCAGGGGTTACCTTGGTCATCTGGGGAGGTGCAGTAAAACCTGATCCTCTCCCACGAAGGGGACTCTTCCCCCATCAGCCTTCGCATTTCCCTGTCTAGTTGTCGAAGTTCCTCGACCATCCGGCTCCAGAGCTCCTCCCAGGTGCTCATCACCCAGGGGAGCGGCCAGGCATAAGTTGCCTCCTCTCCCAGGTGCAGAAGCTTGGTGGCCGCGGCCTCGAAGAGCGCGTAGTGCTCGGTGCCGTAGACGCAGGCGACAGCCCAGGCCATACGAAGAGCGGCCCGAAACCAAGCTGTCAACGTCGTCGGGTGGCGTGGGCGCTTTTCCAGGCGGCTGTCCGGCGGGGGAACGAAGTTGTCGAAGTCCTCTTCCGAAGTCAGAGGGAAGTCGGCAACGGAGAGGGCGTACCCCGGCAGGGACTTAACCTCCCGCCCTCCGATGGAGAGAGAGGCCAGCCCATACGCGACCCTGTTGGTGACGTTCACCGGGAATTGCAGCGCCCGCATCTGTGGCCTTCCCTGAGCCCCGGCGGTCTTCAGCGAGTGGAACAACTCCTTTCCTGTGGTGCACACGGGCACGGTAAGGGAATCACATCCCCTAACGATGAACACGAGTCTTTCTTCAGGGCGGCCAATACTCGCTAACTTCCCCTTATCGTGTGAGGACGACTCATCACGGGCACTGAGGGTTTTTGCAATTGTTTGCAATGCCCTTGCGGTGTCGTCAGCGGAGCGCGTCTCTGGCTCCGTGAACGCACCTGCCCGCGAGGGCCTCAAAGCGGAAACGAGGCCATCCGGCAGGGGCACCGCAGAAGCGCCGTCGCTGGGTGTCGCTCTGCTGGCCTCCTTTTGTCGAAAGAGCAGCGCTGCGCTCACCTGGGGAGGGGCGACCGTAGAGACACCGAACCGCGGGGCTGGGACCGTAAACGGCACCACCGAAGACTCAGGCTTGTGCTCTTCGGCCGGGCGAGTTGGCTCAGCCGCGGCCAGCGCCAAGCTTCTCTTCCCTAACTCGAGAATGGGGTCAAATGCCTCTTCCTTCTCGCGGGCCCCGGCGAGGCTCCGGATGAGCTGCGCTACTTCCTCCGGGTAGTCGGGGGGCAGCCTACGCAGGGCCGCCTTTGCTGCTGCCGTGAGACGCCGGCTCGCAGCAACCAGGCTTTCGTCCCGCTTCGCCGTGCCAAGGAAAGCGACGGAATGGGACTCTCCATTCAGCCTTGCCTGCAAATAGGCGGCTAAATCCTTGGAGTCTCCCTGCTCGTTTCCCGTGGTGGCGGGGTTGACGGAGTCCGTGCTCCCTTGCCCGGGCGCGGAACGCGCCTCGGGCTGCGGAGTGGCCTCTTCCTTGCTCGCTTCCTTAACAACGTCCCCGACAGCGCGAGGACCCTTCGCCTCACTCTGAGGCTTCGGTCCCCTCTCCTCCTTGGCAGAGTGGAGCTTGCACAGGCGCACCCCTTTGAGTACACTTCTGGCGGCGTTGTTGCAGCCCTCTACTGCGCAGGCCCTCTTGGCTCGGGACGCTTCGTACATATCCCGGTGCCTTTGGCATGCGCGGAAGTAGTACCCGTCGTTTTCGCACATCAAGTCCTCTGTGCAGCTCGTGCGTTCGTCTGGCTGCAGTAGGCGGATAGGAGGTCCGCAGCTGCAATCCTTACATGGCCCCAACGAAAGAGGCCCTTTCGCCTCAGGTCCGCCTAGCGCGACCTGGTCTGCTTGACAGATGTGGTCTCCTTCTCCACCCTCTGAATTCAGTCTCCGAATCGTCGTGGAGGTCCCGTCTCCCTGCGCTGCCGCTGCCCGGGCGAGAAGCTCGCCGCAGGCAACAGCAAAGGGCAAAGCGGCAGGCTCTTCTCCCGCTCTTACAGCAGGACGAGGCACAACGCCGGAAAGCCCCACAGGTAAGGCATCCCCAAAAAGAGGTGACCGTCCAGCACCGGGCTAAGGCACCCTTGCCCGCTACCTCCTGCAAGTCGACCTCTTCGGAGCGGGGCGCCACAGCGCTCAGGCCCACATGGACTTCCGCGCAGTCCGGTGCTGTGCAAGGGTCTGCTGAGCAGAGGTGCACAGCGCATTCTGCCACTTCAATCTGGTTTCGCCAGTATCGGTGACTACTGGAGTGCACGCCGTTGCACCGGGCCAGGTATCCATGCCTGTCAGTTCGGCCCCTGAGGGCCCCATGTCTGAGGCGTGCAACTGCCACCCCATCAGACACTGGTAAATCGAGGGGTTCTCGATTCTCGCTCCTCCCTCGAACTTCCTGTTGCACATACTGTGCCGTCCAAGGGGTCCCGGTAGCAGGGCCTTTCCACTTTGGCCTAAAAGAAGAAAGCCCGTGTAGCCGGACTACTTCGTGCCACGGGCCCTGCCCCGTCAGGTACCGGTAAAAGGCGTAGGTATGCCTCAGGACGGGTATGACCACCCAGCTGATTGTCCAAACGGCCAGCTGGAGGCAAAAGACCCCCACTACCGCCACTGCGAGCCAGTAGGCCCACTTGGCCGCGTAGCCGACAGAAGCACAGAGGGCCCCGCAGTAAACAAAACCGGTGTCCGCGACTTTAAAAAGAAGGTTCAGCCAGAACGTCACAAACCAGTGATCGCCGGCATTCTCCGACTGTTCGGAGTGGCCCTCCCCAGAGGGCACTCCAGCCGGGTTGGGCTCCGACTCGAGGAGTGTCCACCCTCCCAACCAATCCCTGAGGAACTCAATGACCGGGCGCGATCCCACGCCACGGTCCTCCTCAACAATAGGCTCGGGAACGGCTTCCGGCTCGGCGTAACTTCCGCGCCAGAAACGGATTTTTATCCAAGAGTCGTCGGCATCGGGCTGAGCAGTGAAGTTTGCAGCCATGACCACCGCAAGGTGAAGGAAACCCCTCATGGTTGCCCCCGG